TGCGCGAGATTTCCCAAACAGTTGCCCGAAATTTCTCAAACCGTTGCTCAAACGTTCTCCAAAAATAGTCAAAAATTGCTTTTTGTAACGAAAGTTGCTCAAAAGTTGCTAAAAAAAAGTAAAAAATTTTTTTCCTTTTTTCTTTTATTCGGTCTGATGAAAAAATATGCAATCTGTACAACACAAGTAACATTTCGAAGCATTTTTGTGCAATTTTGCGTTGTAACCAGCGTCGCTAAATAAATTTGTTCACAATACGTATGCGTACATACTACGGATACAATATCAAAACTTTTTCAAAACAATTTTAAAACAAGTTTTTGAAAAATTCGTTAAAAAAAATTTCAAAAAATTTTTAAAAAAATTTAAAAAATTCCTTACAAAAATTGTTAAACATTTTTAAAAAAAATTAAAGAAATTCACAAATTGTAAAATATGGAAGCATGGCCAATTAAAGCACTAAAAGCTGCTCCGATATCTGGAAAACTAGAAATTGCTCAGAATGCAAAAACTTGCTGGAAACAAAACAAGTTGCTCGAAATACGAAAAGTTGCCAAAAAGTTGCCGAGCAACTTGTGGCAAGCCCTACCCCCGGGAGTATCGGACATGAGTGGGGGAATTCACCTACCAGGGGCTCCCTAGACTAACCTGAAGAAATTTGCCTGAGGCGGAAAACACCACGTACACCAGTTTTGCTTAGGTTCCACTCGTTCATGAAGTCAGAGCCCTCCGTTTCCTCATTCGTGCACAAAGGTGCGTTCTTCTCCTTTTCCCTTCTGCGCAGAAGGGCCAAAGAGAAGAGAGAAGGTGTCTAAAAATGTAGTTTCGCTATAATTTGTCTTTCTTACAGCGCTAATCAAAACTAATTTGACTTTGAGACAAGTTGCCTATATTTTCCAGGCCCGAACTGTTTCAATTTGAAAGCCTCATGGGAAACGATAACCGAACCAACCTTGACCACGCATTTAATGTGGCTAACAAAGAGTTTTCAGTACCGAGGCTGCTCGACCCTGAAGGTGAGAAAAAGTTGCTGCTGCCACCCCTCCCGTCTTCCTTTTTCATATAATGAATATCATGTTAAATAATACATTTAAAAATGAAAAGAAAAATGAAATACCTCTGGGTGTATTGTGAAATATTGGGACATATGCGAATTTCTAAAATGCGAGTTTCTAAAATATCATTCATCGTTTTTTTTGTTATTTCAAACTGAAAAAATAGATCACAATAACATTTTTAGCCTTTTTCGATTACTTTTAGAGCCTTGTACTCTTCTGATAAAACTTAAGTGTCATTTTAACAGAAATTTTGCAGTCGTCACATTCACTGTATTGTATGGAGTTAGGAATTAGCCATGTGAGGCAATTCGCTCCATCATAATTGAAATATTTCAGCAGCCAATTTTCTTTCCTATCTCCTAAAGCCCTTTTTGTACAAGTGCCAATGTTTCTAGTGTTCCTTATTGCAGGTGTAAATAGCTTTCCTGAAACGATCGAGGGCATTATGCTTAGTTGATTTAGAAAAAAATTAACATTGTCAATCGAATGATATTTAAACTTACTTTTTCGCCAGTACCAGTTTCTCAAGGTCTTGCGATTTTTTTCCGTAACCGAAGTCTCTAAGGTTTCGACTGAATTTTATTTTTAAATGGTTAAAGTTTTATCTTTACTTTATATATAATGGCGTTCCTAATTACAACTGTGCGATTATTTAATTTATGCGTTGCCTTAATCCAATTAAGGAACAGTTCTTTTAAGCAATTGTTTTGATTACTAATGGGAAACCGCTGTTGTATAATGTCTATATGAATTATTTTTTCTTTGTGGGAGGCACCGCATACGTGTAAGAAAAGGTCTTGAGGCGCAACTCAATAAATTTAGTGTAATCTTCCTTTAAGAAACCGAGGAGAATTGCAAATAAGCAGCCTTGGTATTGAAAGTTTAGTTATGTAGAAATTGCTTGTAGAGCTTAATTTCACTGGAAAGTAATTTAAAAAGCTGAAAGCTTTTCCGAAAGTTAGGTTTCCTGAATGTGAACAAGTTTATTTTAAAAGTAAACAGTGGCATAATTATTGTCACTCTGTTATTATTCTTGCTGTTAACGAAGAAAGGTAGATTTTGGAAGGCTCTATCGAAAATGAGACTTGCGTTTTAATTAAGTGCAGCAACGTCAAGCTTAAAGGAAACTAAAACTTTTTCTGTATTTCGAATAAATGAAAGAACATAGCTACTGTTTCTCTTAACAATAAATTCAGCTACTTTTGCAAGACGCATTGAAAATTTTCTCTTGAATAACGATTCATTACTTGTTACGAAAAAGTGGTTTTCCAACAATAAGAGATTGCGAAATTAAAGTTGCATTAAAATACTCATTTCTGCATGCTGGAAATGTCAGCAGAAAAAAGCGCTTTATCTGAACAGCTGCATTTGACTATATTGTCCATGATACATAGCACGGTGCCCTTGGTGAAACAACGTTTGAAACGTAGATAGCAACAATGTATAGCCAATGAATTTGAAAATAGTTCTCGTGTGCAACAGACCATGGGCCGTGAATGCATATCTCCATATGAGAAGTCTTTTAAAAAAATCCTCCAAATTCTGTGCTTTTTTTACTTTTTTCAAACTGGTAATTTGAATGCATAATGCATAAAGGATATGTACAGAAATAAATGTCAAGAATATGTCAACAGAAACAAAATGTAAACAATAGGCACCTTTCATAAACTTGGCAAAGATATTAACTTTATTTGGAAGACACTTATGTCGAGGTTTTGTTTTAGTACAAAGAGGAGGAATTACACGTTATGAGAGGGAGAGGAGAGTGAAGGAGGAAAGGAAATTGAAACGTCCTGTGAAACAGAATCAGATATAGAATTAGCTTCTTTGCTTTGACCTAAGGCGGGACACTCGAAACGTCACAACGCCATCTTTAATGTCGGTCAGATTGTGTAAGAGCAAACTCGTTCCTCCTTTTGCTCTGTTGTTATTTATTTATTTATTTAGTTAGTTAGTTAGTTAGTTAGTTAGTTAGTTATTTCTTTATTTAGTTATTTATTTATACATTTACTTAAGCAAGCGAAGTAAACGATAAAAATCAACGTTTTGGTGTCATCACGACACCGTTGTTCGTTGTGAATAAAAAATGGGAGTTGAATTTATTTATCTATTTATTTGTTTATTTATTTTTCCATAAGATATCGACGTTGACAAACCAGACAAGAAGTCAATCATCATGTATCTGACCAGTTTATATCATGGCTTGAGAGAATACTCGCCTCAAGGAGGAAGAAATGGAAGAAAACTCTACGGTACTGGAGTTAATTTACGGTCAGTAAAAACAAGTATTTATGACATGGTTAGCTTCGAGGGCAAGATTAATTAACCAAAATCATGCGCTGTGATTGACTACCTGAGCGGGCAAGTTAAGGATATCTTATCCTCTCGAGACTACCCACTGTATCCAGCGAGAAGATGGTGTCCTGTATTACATGTAATAAATCCTTTACAGACCCAGTATGATCGGCCAATATGGCTGGATATTGGCTTCGATCTTTTTTTTTTCTGTGTATATGGACCTCGACTGCGTCCCGGTCCATAAAACCGCAAAAAAAATTATTGAATCGTCAGCCACCCGTAGTAGATCTATACAGAACTATCCTTAATCAAACGATAAACACCATATGAAGTACCGATCTGCCTGGGTTCAAAGAACAACGTTAAGATATCAGAAAAAAGTAAGAAACATAACAATAAAATAATAAATAAATAAATAAAAAATAAATAAAATAAACATAAGCAAATATAAAGTTAACTCGTTATCTCTAACAGTTTATTTCGCTTTTAAATTGAAAGCTATTCATTACTACTGTTGGTGCTGGTAATATTTCAGCATACATTCTGCAAAGTTCAGACCTCGCTGGTTTTAGAGAAGACCAGTTTCCAGAAGTGAGGCAGTTTGACTATCCTTTTGTTATTAACACTAATGATGTTTTAGCGTATTTCATTCTTTTTCAGCCTTGACCAACTGGACGAGAAAGACGCTAAATTTGCTACTTTTCAGGAAAAAAGAAACGCTCTTGTTCTTATTTTAAGAAATTGCTTGGAAAAGTTAGAAAACCTAAGAGCTAAGGGAGCGGCAAACGACATGCGAGAGGTCAATGAACAGCAGAACATTGTAAAGGTAAAAACAAGTGCAAGAACTTCACGATATCTGCGGTATAATTCTTAAGTTAAGGGTAGGGCTTGTATTTGTCCAGTTTGCAGGGGCTGGAATGGGGGTGTGGAGCTGACATCGAATTTTTGCGTTTTGAAACTTGTTACGTAAACTGAGGATCTTACATGTGAAAAGGATTTTTCATCTGAAAATTTTCGGTATATACAGGAATACCACATTTATTAAAATTTCATATGGTTTTCAAGTTAACATCCATACCCGGGGACATGGGGGAGCAATATATATACAGGAATACCACATTTATTAAAATTTCATATGGTTTTCAAGTTAACATCCATACCCGGGGACATGGGGGAGGGGAACTGATCCGGGACGACGTGAGGTAAACCTAGCGGCATAATCCCTATGGGGTCAGCTTGCAAGAATAACACATCTAAACCTGGGAGATCACTCGTATGGGACAAGTTTCAGTCACATTTAGATTCAGTTCTTTGATTGGGTACAGCATTTTTGGCTTTGAATTGTTTGGTCCCAATCAGTGAGCCACTCCCATGCCTTCTTTGAAGACGTTGGTTTCGCCATTTATGCATAACTGGTGTTGGTCATTTAAAAAAGCTTTTTATTGAGAAAACTGTCAAAGTACAAATTTCTCGGACGTTGTGAGTAAGTATGCACAGTTTTTGTTGTATTTCTGTTAACTCTATACCGAATGTTTTGTAATGGCTTATGTAACCGTGTAAACTTCTGTTTTTATTTGAAAGAAATTGCACTTTCTTAGATCTCTATTGTATTCCTTATGGTATTACGTTCTCTTGGTATATAGCAGAGATTTTTTCAGGATGATACATGCTTTTGAGTTTTGAGAAGATGGAGGGCTCTTTACCGGAACTTCTCCCTGTGTCCTTTTTTTTAGAATCCTCCGTAGGAAAAAACGATAATGACTGTACATTTTGCTGCAATGCCATGCGAACCTTACACAGCCCATATAGTGCAAGGAAAGCCATATTTGTTTGTAATGTTTGTCCCTGTGCTAACGACATAGTGTATGCCAGTATAGGTTCGAATAATGTAGAAGTTTGCTGCACGTGTCCATGAACGTTGATAATGTTTTCATGCGCTAAGAATTGTGGGTTAATGTACCAGTCGCCATCTTTTTTCCCTACGGAGGATTCAGATTCGGCTTGCTAAGAGTAATCTTTGCTCGTCAGGAATGTGACCCTGAATTGAGAGCAGGCGAGCCTCTCCTACAGGAAGTCATTTTGTGCGGAAGAGAGCTGACACAAGACAATCTGCTTGACGACAACGAGAAAGAGAAAATCACACGTGACACGGCGCAGTTGTTGGAACACTATGACCACTTGAGAAACTTTATTGACGACGAGCAAGAGAGGTTTGTAATCTCTGTTATTATCTATATTCGATTATTATTGCAGTGTATTGTAAATTAAAAAAAGTTACTTTTACATATAAGAAATAGATGCAAAGTTTCTAATTATATTTTTAAAAGTAAATCAGCCGTGTAAAAAAAGCAAAGAGTACACCTATCCTAGCTACAGTAGTTTATCTTAGCAAATATCTTTGTAATGCAAGTGACTTTTAATGAAATGAAGTGTAAGTGCTGCCGAAATAAAAATTTTAAAAAATCTATATTCGACTATTTAACAGCAGACTATTTCTACCTCTTGTTGGCTCAAAAAAGGCCGCGACACAAAGAGGAAGTGACGTCATTATTCTTGGTACATTCTGCTTCCTGCCGGTAAAATGCTTAGAATATATTCCAGAATCGGAATAGCGACTAATTGGACTGGATATTCGGGGATATTCTTATTATTTTTGTTTTGGAATAAGATCAATCGAGCATACCTTTTCACAATACTCAAACTGGTGTGTAGGGAAAAGCACTTAAAAAAAAATCAAGTGAAGATTAATCGTGAGAGGTTTTATTTCTCCAAATTACAAAGGTTTTTTTCAGTTCACTGCAAATATTCGAGAAGTTCGACCTTAGCCTGAGTCAAAACTAATGGGCAAAATGACATAGAAACAAAAAGTCTCATTGAAGAGGTGTGAAACTGAAATCAAAACTGCATAGCTTTTTATCATTAAATTTTTCCATAACCTGACGTATTTCCTGGCCACTGTTATCTCTTAAGCCTCGATAAACTCTACAAGGAGATGGAAAAGCAAAACAAGATCCGCGACTGGGAGACAAAGCGAGATGACTTGAACAACAAACTTGACTTGTGCGAGGAAAGGTTGCGTAATCAAGAACAAGATCAGAGGCCGGACGACTTTAAAGTGAGTGAAACAATTTTAACAGCAGCAATAGGTAGAGTTGAAATTTTGAACACTTTTCTTGATTTTTTTAAGATTTGAATACATTTATTTAGGATTTTTGGATGCGTTAAAGGAGTAAATTTTGCATAAAGGGAGTGAAATAAAACCATTTAGAATCAGTGCTTCTAAATTCTCCAACTGATGCTTCAACATATCATTTTTCTCTCATTGCGTTCTTTGCAGGCCTTCGCCGAGGAGGTTAGTGCTCTTGAGTCGGAGGCAACAAATGTTATGGACAGCGGAAATAAACTTTTACAAAGTGAAAGTCTTAATATCAATCAGATAGATCGATTGTTCAAAGACGTACACGACATCGAAGACAGATACGAGGATCTCAAGAACAGGATCAATGACGTATTGAGGTAATTTCATTGGTTTTAGCGCAAATCTTTTAATNTGGGAGTACCCCCCCCCCCCTCCCCGGGTAGGGCTTGCCACAAGTTGCGCGAGATTTCCCAAACAGTTGCCCGAAATTTCTCAAACCGTTGCTCAAACGTTCTCCAAAAATAGTCAAAAATTGCTTTTTGTAACGAAAGTTGCTCAAAAGTTGCTAAAAAAAAGTAAAAAATTTTTTTCCTTTTTTCTTTTATTCGGTCTGATGAAAAAATATGCAATCTGTACAACACAAGTAACATTTCGAAGCATTTTTGTGCAATTTTGCGTTGTAACCAGCGTCGCTAAATAAATTTGTTCACAATACGTATGCGTACATACTACGGATACAATATCAAAACTTTTTCAAAACAATTTTAAAACAAGTTTTTGAAAAATTCGTTAAAAAAAATTTCAAAAAATTTTTAAAAAAATTTAAAAAATTCCTTACAAAAATTGTTAAACATTTTTAAAAAAAATTAAAGAAATTCACAAATTGTAAAATATGGAAGCATGGCCAATTAAAGCACTAAAAGCTGCTCCGATATCTGGAAAACTAGAAATTGCTCAGAATGCAAAAACTTGCTGGAAACAAAACAAGTTGCTCGAAATACGAAAAGTTGCCAAAAAGTTGCCGAGCAACTTGTGGCAAGCCCTACCCCCGGGAGTATCGGACATGAGTGGGGGAATTCACCTACCAGGGGCTCCCTAGACTAACCTGAAGAAATTTGCCTGAGGCGGAAAACACCACGTACACCAGTTTTGCTTAGGTTCCACTCGTTCATGAAGTCAGAGCCCTCCGTTTCCTCATTCGTGCACAAAGGTGCGTTCTTCTCCTTTTCCCTTCTGCGCAGAAGGGCCAAAGAGAAGAGAGAAGGTGTCTAAAAATGTAGTTTCGCTATAATTTGTCTTTCTTACAGCGCTAATCAAAACTAATTTGACTTTGAGACAAGTTGCCTATATTTTCCAGGCCCGAACTGTTTCAATTTGAAAGCCTCATGGGAAACGATAACCGAACCAACCTTGACCACGCATTTAATGTGGCTAACAAAGAGTTTTCAGTACCGAGGCTGCTCGACCCTGAAGGTGAGAAAAAGTTGCTGCTGCCACCCCTCCCGTCTTCCTTTTTCATATAATGAATATCATGTTAAATAATACATTTAAAAATGAAAAGAAAAATGAAATACCTCTGGGTGTATTGTGAAATATTGGGACATATGCGAATTTCTAAAATGCGAGTTTCTAAAATATCATTCATCGTTTTTTTTGTTATTTCAAACTGAAAAAATAGATCACAATAACATTTTTAGCCTTTTTCGATTACTTTTAGAGCCTTGTACTCTTCTGATAAAACTTAAGTGTCATTTTAACAGAAATTTTGCAGTCGTCACATTCACTGTATTGTATGGAGTTAGGAATTAGCCATGTGAGGCAATTCGCTCCATCATAATTGAAATATTTCAGCAGCCAATTTTCTTTCCTATCTCCTAAAGCCCTTTTTGTACAAGTGCCAATGTTTCTAGTGTTCCTTATTGCAGGTGTAAATAGCTTTCCTGAAACGATCGAGGGCATTATGCTTAGTTGATTTAGAAAAAAATTAACATTGTCAATCGAATGATATTTAAACTTACTTTTTCGCCAGTACCAGTTTCTCAAGGTCTTGCGATTTTTTTCCGTAACCGAAGTCTCTAAGGTTTCGACTGAATTTTATTTTTAAATGGTTAAAGTTTTATCTTTACTTTATATATAATGGCGTTCCTAATTACAACTGTGCGATTATTTAATTTATGCGTTGCCTTAATCCAATTAAGGAACAGTTCTTTTAAGCAATTGTTTTGATTACTAATGGGAAACCGCTGTTGTATAATGTCTATATGAATTATTTTTTCTTTGTGGGAGGCACCGCATACGTGTAAGAAAAGGTCTTGAGGCGCAACTCAATAAATTTAGTGTAATCTTCCTTTAAGAAACCGAGGAGAATTGCAAATAAGCAGCCTTGGTATTGAAAGTTTAGTTATGTAGAAATTGCTTGTAGAGCTTAATTTCACTGGAAAGTAATTTAAAAAGCTGAAAGCTTTTCCGAAAGTTAGGTTTCCTGAATGTGAACAAGTTTATTTTAAAAGTAAACAGTGGCATAATTATTGTCACTCTGTTATTATTCTTGCTGTTAACGAAGAAAGGTAGATTTTGGAAGGCTCTATCGAAAATGAGACTTGCGTTTTAATTAAGTGCAGCAACGTCAAGCTTAAAGGAAACTAAAACTTTTTCTGTATTTCGAATAAATGAAAGAACATAGCTACTGTTTCTCTTAACAATAAATTCAGCTACTTTTGCAAGACGCATTGAAAATTTTCTCTTGAATAACGATTCATTACTTGTTACGAAAAAGTGGTTTTCCAACAATAAGAGATTGCGAAATTAAAGTTGCATTAAAATACTCATTTCTGCATGCTGGAAATGTCAGCAGAAAAAAGCGCTTTATCTGAACAGCTGCATTTGACTATATTGTCCATGATACATAGCACGGTGCCCTTGGTGAAACAACGTTTGAAACGTAGATAGCAACAATGTATAGCCAATGAATTTGAAAATAGTTCTCGTGTGCAACAGACCATGGGCCGTGAATGCATATCTCCATATGAGAAGTCTTTTAAAAAAATCCTCCAAATTCTGTGCTTTTTTTACTTTTTTCAAACTGGTAATTTGAATGCATAATGCATAAAGGATATGTACAGAAATAAATGTCAAGAATATGTCAACAGAAACAAAATGTAAACAATAGGCACCTTTCATAAACTTGGCAAAGATATTAACTTTATTTGGAAGACACTTATGTCGAGGTTTTGTTTTAGTACAAAGAGGAGGAATTACACGTTATGAGAGGGAGAGGAGAGTGAAGGAGGAAAGGAAATTGAAACGTCCTGTGAAACAGAATCAGATATAGAATTAGCTTCTTTGCTTTGACCTAAGGCGGGACACTCGAAACGTCACAACGCCATCTTTAATGTCGGTCAGATTGTGTAAGAGCAAACTCGTTCCTCCTTTTGCTCTGTTGTTATTTATTTATTTATTTATTTATTTAGTTAGTTAGTTAGTTAGTTATTTCTTTATTTAGTTATTTATTTATACATTTACTTAAGCAAGCGAAGTAAACGATAAAAATCAACGTTTTGGTGTCATCACGACACCGTTGTTCGTTGTGAATAAAAAATGGGAGTTGAATTTATTTATCTATTTATTTGTTTATTTATTTTTCCATAAGATATCGACGTTGACAAACCAGACAAGAAGTCAATCATCATGTATCTGACCAGTTTATATCATGGCTTGAGAGAATACTCGCCTCAAGGAGGAAGAAATGGAAGAAAACTCTACGGTACTGGAGTTAATTTACGGTCAGTAAAAACAAGTATTTATGACATGGTTAGCTTCGAGGGCAAGATTAATTAACCAAAATCATGCGCTGTGATTGACTACCTGAGCGGGCAAGTTAAGGATATCTTATCCTCTCGAGACTACCCACTGTATCCAGCGAGAAGATGGTGTCCTGTATTACATGTAATAAATCCTTTACAGACCCAGTATGATCGGCCAATATGGCTGGATATTGGCTTCGATCTTTTTTTTTTCTGTGTATATGGACCTCGACTGCGTCCCGGTCCATAAAACCGCAAAAAAAATTATTGAATCGTCAGCCACCCGTAGTAGATCTATACAGAACTATCCTTAATCAAACGATAAACACCATATGAAGTACCGATCTGCCTGGGTTCAAAGAACAACGTTAAGATATCAGAAAAAAGTAAGAAACATAACAATAAAATAATAAATAAATAAATAAAAAATAAATAAAATAAACATAAGCAAATATAAAGTTAACTCGTTATCTCTAACAGTTTATTTCGCTTTTAAATTGAAAGCTATTCATTACTACTGTTGGTGCTGGTAATATTTCAGCATACATTCTGCAAAGTTCAGACCTCGCTGGTTTTAGAGAAGACCAGTTTCCAGAAGTGAGGCAGTTTGACTATCCTTTTGTTATTAACACTAATGATGTTTTAGCGTATTTCATTCTTTTTCAGCCTTGACCAACTGGACGAGAAAGACGCTAAATTTGCTACTTTTCAGGAAAAAAGAAACGCTCTTGTTCTTATTTTAAGAAATTGCTTGGAAAAGTTAGAAAACCTAAGAGCTAAGGGAGCGGCAAACGACATGCGAGAGGTCAATGAACAGCAGAACATTGTAAAGGTAAAAACAAGTGCAAGAACTTCACGATATCTGCGGTATAATTCTTAAGTTAAGGGTAGGGCTTGTATTTGTCCAGTTTGCAGGGGCTGGAATGGGGGTGTGGAGCTGACATCGAATTTTTGCGTTTTGAAACTTGTTACGTAAACTGAGGATCTTACATGTGAAAAGGATTTTTCATCTGAAAATTTTCGGTATATACAGGAATACCACATTTATTAAAATTTCATATGGTTTTCAAGTTAACATCCATACCCGGGGACATGGGGGAGCAATATATATACAGGAATACCACATTTATTAAAATTTCATATGGTTTTCAAGTTAACATCCATACCCGGGGACATGGGGGAGGGGAACTGATCCGGGACGACGTGAGGTAAACCTAGCGGCATAATCCCTATGGGGTCAGCTTGCAAGAATAACACATCTAAACCTGGGAGATCACTCGTATGGGACAAGTTTCAGTCACATTTAGATTCAGTTCTTTGATTGGGTACAGCATTTTTGGCTTTGAATTGTTTGGTCCCAATCAGTGAGCCACTCCCATGCCTTCTTTGAAGACGTTGGTTTCGCCATTTATGCATAACTGGTGTTGGTCATTTAAAAAAGCTTTTTATTGAGAAAACTGTCAAAGTACAAATTTCTCGGACGTTGTGAGTAAGTATGCACAGTTTTTGTTGTATTTCTGTTAACTCTATACCGAATGTTTTGTAATGGCTTATGTAACCGTGTAAACTTCTGTTTTTATTTGAAAGAAATTGCACTTTCTTAGATCTCTATTGTATTCCTTATGGTATTACGTTCTCTTGGTATATAGCAGAGATTTTTTCAGGATGATACATGCTTTTGAGTTTTGAGAAGATGGAGGGCTCTTTACCGGAACTTCTCCCTGTGTCCTTTTTTTTAGAATCCTCCGTAGGAAAAAACGATAATGACTGTACATTTTGCTGCAATGCCATGCGAACCTTACACAGCCCATATAGTGCAAGGAAAGCCATATTTGTTTGTAATGTTTGTCCCTGTGCTAACGACATAGTGTATGCCAGTATAGGTTCGAATAATGTAGAAGTTTGCTGCACGTGTCCATGAACGTTGATAATGTTTTCATGCGCTAAGAATTGTGGGTTAATGTACCAGTCGCCATCTTTTTTCCCTACGGAGGATTCAGATTCGGCTTGCTAAGAGTAATCTTTGCTCGTCAGGAATGTGACCCTGAATTGAGAGCAGGCGAGCCTCTCCTACAGGAAGTCATTTTGTGCGGAAGAGAGCTGACACAAGACAATCTGCTTGACGACAACGAGAAAGAGAAAATCACACGTGACACGGCGCAGTTGTTGGAACACTATGACCACTTGAGAAACTTTATTGACGACGAGCAAGAGAGGTTTGTAATCTCTGTTATTATCTATATTCGATTATTATTGCAGTGTATTGTAAATTAAAAAAAGTTACTTTTACATATAAGAAATAGATGCAAAGTTTCTAATTATATTTTTAAAAGTAAATCAGCCGTGTAAAAAAAGCAAAGAGTACACCTATCCTAGCTACAGTAGTTTATCTTAGCAAATATCTTTGTAATGCAAGTGACTTTTAATGAAATGAAGTGTAAGTGCTGCCGAAATAAAAATTTTAAAAAATCTATATTCGACTATTTAACAGCAGACTATTTCTACCTCTTGTTGGCTCAAAAAAGGCCGCGACACAAAGAGGAAGTGACGTCATTATTCTTGGTACATTCTGCTTCCTGCCGGTAAAATGCTTAGAATATATTCCAGAATCGGAATAGCGACTAATTGGACTGGATATTCGGGGATATTCTTATTATTTTTGTTTTGGAATAAGATCAATCGAGCATACCTTTTCACAATACTCAAACTGGTGTGTAGGGAAAAGCACTTAAAAAAAAATCAAGTGAAGATTAATCGTGAGAGGTTTTATTTCTCCAAATTACAAAGGTTTTTTTCAGTTCACTGCAAATATTCGAGAAGTTCGACCTTAGCCTGAGTCAAAACTAATGGGCAAAATGACATAGAAACAAAAAGTCTCATTGAAGAGGTGTGAAACTGAAATCAAAACTGCATAGCTTTTTATCATTAAATTTTTCCATAACCTGACGTATTTCCTGGCCACTGTTATCTCTTAAGCCTCGATAAACTCTACAAGGAGATGGAAAAGCAAAACAAGATCCGCGACTGGGAGACAAAGCGAGATGACTTGAACAACAAACTTGACTTGTGCGAGGAAAGGTTGCGTAATCAAGAACAAGATCAGAGGCCGGACGACTTTAAAGTGAGTGAAACAATTTTAACAGCAGCAATAGGTAGAGTTGAAATTTTGAACACTTTTCTTGATTTTTTTAAGATTTGAATACATTTATTTAGGATTTTTGGATGCGTTAAAGGAGTAAATTTTGCATAAAGGGAGTGAAATAAAACCATTTAGAATCAGTGCTTCTAAATTCTCCAACTGATGCTTCAACATATCATTTTTCTCTCATTGCGTTCTTTGCAGGCCTTCGCCGAGGAGGTTAGTGCTCTTGAGTCGGAGGCAACAAATGTTATGGACAGCGGAAATAAACTTTTACAAAGTGAAAGTCTTAATATCAATCAGATAGATCGATTGTTCAAAGACGTACACGACATCGAAGACAGATACGAGGATCTCAAGAACAGGATCAATGACGTATTGAGGTAATTTCATTGGTTTTAGCGCAAATCTTTTAATCATCTATCAGCTAAAGTGCAATCAGATTTAGGTTAGTTCAGTCCCTGAATTCTCCCTTTCCCGCGCTATACAGGGGCTGTATCCAGCTCGAGAAGGGGGGGGGTACTCCCCTATTTGGATTATGTTGGTATGTGCGGCCCCAAAGGGTATGGTTTTTAGCCTTATAGGGTGTCGATTTTGGCTATTTGGGTCTCAAATAGGGAATGGTTTTTACACTCTAGTCATGAATTATTATGACTGTTAAAAGAAGCTATCCCATCTAATAAAAGCAAATATGCATTTCCTTTAACACTGGTCTGAACTAGGGAACTAATTACAAGGCAGGTCTGAAACACGGTATTGATTGAAGAGTGAGGTCGTCAGTAGGGTATCGAATTTTTGGTCAGGTCATAAATAAGGTAGGTAAAATCGCAGATTTTGGTCTTAAAGAGCCTAAAGGTTTGGGAAGCGGGCATCATAACCCTACCCAATGTTTCTGGGAGTACGCCCTGGGGAACCCAGGCGGGAGAAGACTGCCTGATGGGGCACTCGGCTCGAAGACCTTACCTTTCGGTGATTTTGAATTTGTAATCTTTAGAGAGGAAGGGACCGAAAGAACGATCAAGCTAGATACGTGGCGCAAGATTACACAGAAGTCATCAACTGTAATTGCTGACAGCCGTTCACAACTTGATGAGATTAAATCTACAGATCCCTTTACCACGTCTGAAATACAAGAACAGCTCGAGGAGATACAGGTGAAAAAAAGTGGCTAAACCAGTTAAGGTTAATTAAGTTTCTTTAATCACGAGCGTGTTTAGTCGCTAAACTAATCGCCCTCTTACTCACGTATTCATTTGGCTGCTTATTTAGGCAGCTAATTATTGTAGCTATTCTAGGCATTTTTACCTACTCTTTCACTTGCTCACTCGTCCTCTTGTTCACCCATTTCTTCTATCACGTGTTGGCTTGCTCACTACTCACTTGCTTTGTCGTTCAGTCCCTGAGCACATTTTGTTTTGGTTTTATTATTATCATATTTTCCTTATTTTAATTAATGAATTTTTTGTAATAGTGTGCGATAGTGAAATATGTCTGTAAATAGTGTCAATTAATAAAAAATCTGAAATCTGAAAAAATCTGAACCCTCCACGTCGTGTCTTATTGCGCATATGCAGACTCTACCTGTTTTATTAACTACCTTAATCTTAACTTTAGAAATGTAGGGACGTATTTGTGACCGCTTTTCCCGGGATCCAGTCTTGTTCCGATTACAGCAATAACCTCCTCGCGGATAACCAATTTAATGTAGAGGAAAAGAACAAAATAAAGCAGGAGGTGGACAGCCTTGGACAGGAATTCCAAATTCTACAAAACGACATCAACGACCAGCAAGACAGGTTAGAAATGGTTCAACATGCGATTGTTACATGTTTAGTTTTAGCGTGGCTGTCGTGAGATCGAAGAAGTCTTTAAAATATAATAAAATACAAATTCGTCGAATGAATAAGCAATTTACGCATGCTCTCGTATCCAGGTCTCCTATGTTTCTTGATATTTTAGCCTTACGAGACTCTTTGCTGTTTACGTGTGGACAGGCGTAAACGATACCGCGTAGACCATCGCTGGACTGAAAATGAAACTGGACTTGTGTGAACAAAAATATTTGTATGTGTTTCCAAGGGTTAAAGTATGTGCGTAGACATATATGTGTGGACGACTCCCCACTCCCTCCATCTTTTTGTGCAACATCTTGTGATGTGTTGTTACGTCTCCTAGACTTCAAGGACGTTTGAAGACAATGGACCATGAAACGGAAATTATGGAAGACTGGCGCGAGAAATGCACCTTCCTAAAGTCTGAGCTGGATGCTGCTGATGAAATAATACAAGAAGGGAAGAACGCAAAGAGTCCCGAGGAAATAGAAAACTGCTATCTCAAGCTGAAGGTGTAGATCCGTTTAATGTGCAATGTTAAGGGAGCACTCTAAACTTTTTCAGTAGCCACTCAGTTGTGTTCTATTAGAAATCTGCGAATGTGATTAGTTCTCTCATCGTTTTCTATTCGCTGATAGACAAAAATCACGCACGTGCTGCTCTTGTAATGGAAAGTGGTTTTTAATTTTAGGCTTAAACTTACTCAAAATTGTAGGTTTTGTGCTGTAATCCTTTAGAGTGGCTACTAGAACAATTAGACTACTCGCCCTCGTTTTGTATGAATGGTGTTCAACTCGGCTACGCCTTGTTAATTATTCGCCCACAGAAAACTCGGGCTAGAAGTCTAAATGTTGATTAAAGGAAAAGGGTACCAAATGAAAACCATTCGCAAGGAGAGAATGTGATGGTAACATAGCGCAGGCTATTGAAAACAGAAGAGCTTTTTATCTTTCAATCGTTTTTAAAAAACGATTAATATTTGTTATGGCTCCGTGTTTTCTAAGGTATACACTTGTCGTTTGGCACACAGTTAAGCCCTGGCAAAAATAATTGATCGATGTTTGTGTTGTTTTCGAGTTTTTCAAACCGATCATAGAGAGTAGTGACGCAAAACCAAAGAAAGGAAGGAAGAATGTTTCTTGTTTTTTTACTGCGTTGTGTTTTGGAATCGATGAAATGAAAGAGTCGAGTCTTCAATACTGTCTTGGCAATCCTTTTGGCAGCATTTTCCCCTTCCGCACTAAAACACCCCAAAACATAGATTCGCAAAGGGATATATCACAACCATCATTTGCGCATGCGCATATGACGTGAATGGCATTAACGTTTTTGAAAGGCTCTGTTTTTGCTGTGTACAGTAATAGATAGGGCTCCGTTTTCAAATTTCCCTACCCTGGACGGCGTTTTCAAATGTATGCGTTTCCCTTGACAACGATCGTTTTACTGCACGTGGACAGCAAGCAAAACGCATCGAGAACGGTGCTTTTTTCCTATGAAAACACATAAGTGTGGACGGGGCCTTCATGTATGATGAAAATTGCAGCAACTCAGCACAAAATGAGACTAGAACTGGAACATCTTTGGCTCTAGGTTGAAATGCATATGGAAGTTGATGCCATTTCTTTGTACTAAGTAATTCATTTTATTTTTTCCTGTTATTTTTAGGAGCTAACGGCCAGCTTTGAATACACTGAACCTGATTTTAATAAGATTTTAGATTACGGCAGAGGTCTGGCATCAAAGGAGGATTTTAGTAATGATAATCGAAAAGAGCTGTGTGAAGATGTAGCGTTACTGGACGAAAGAGGAAACACAATCTTGAGAGTCTCTCGAGACGAATATGCAAGGTAGTGTCGATAGTTAAGTGGGCAGCAGAAAAACCCTGACAATGGAAAAGTAGCGGTGGAGAGGGAGGTGAACTTTTTGACGTTGGGAGCTTTGTTATGCTCATAAGGAAAAATGTTGTAATGCCTGTTGCTGAGTGGAAGGCAAGAGTTGTTTACCATTTACCCATCCGATTTGCGATTTGGGTAAGAATGTAAATAGCTCGACCGACCGGGAAATTTTCAAAGTAAACGGAACGTCTTGGAAGGTAGTCCAAATTTCCGAGTGGAAAATGTGATTACTTTTTGCAACTCTTCACCGCCATCTTGGAATTATAATTAGGTCGAACTTCACACCAACTACTATTCACACTAACTACACACAGTGGGGACATTGCCTTTCAAGTATGCCGTCAAATTCCATGTTTCAAATGCTACCCCACTTTGATTAATGTTCTTACCCTTACGAATGATCACTATTAAATGTACAGTTTATTCAGTACGTTGCACTAACTTTTGTGTGGTATTTTAGACTCGAAGTATCACTTGAGGCTTCTGAAGCGAAACGAAGAAACTTGTTGACTTGGCACGAACGAGGCGACATTCTTTATCAGTGGGTGAACGACAGATACGTAATGCTGGGTTCCCGTCCACCCTCCCCTAAGGCATCGTTCAGGGGAATAAAAAGGCAAGAAAGCGTTATTGAGGTAAAGTCAAGAACTATAAAAATATCAGTGTGTGTTTTAGTCTGTGCATAAGCGGAGCTCTGGCAGCAGGCAGCAGTCAGTCGTGCAACTAAGGCGTTGCTATTAATTACATTTTCATTCGGTGTCCCGTCTTACACGAGAATTGATAAAATGTCGTCAAGCGATATAAGCAGATTTTGACGTGCTTTCCTCGTATTCTGCGCTGCTTTGTGTTTGTAGGATTTAATTGAAGAAATGGAAACCAAAGTAGAGGACGTAAACAAAATTATCGACGAGGGAAATCAGATTATCGACGACGATTCCGTGCCTGAGAAGGAAAGGAAAGTAGTCCACGAAAAGATGATTGCGCTACATGACGAGTGGAACAGACTAGCCACTTTGACCTCTGGCAGACAACTAATGTTAGTACTTAGATCTTCAACACCATTTCTATTTGATGTTATTCACTTTGACCTCTGACCATTGTTTGTAAACGTGTAGGACCTCTGATCTTCAGTTCATATGTGAACGTGTATGGAGTTTAGAGGGATGACATGTGCTTCTTGTCGTTCAGACCTGTTGTGTTTATATGTGACTAGGGCAGCGCTCCCTTTCTCTTCAAGAGATTTTCTCATGAGGTGGCGGGAGGTGGTTGGGGGGGGGGGGGAGTGGTGTATTAGAATTTTGACTGTATCTGCTCTGCCGGCCGTTTGCAGATGCAATTATGACTTTACTACTGAATTTCCTTTGCTGAATGAAAACAGGACGTTTCTTTGGTGCAATCGACAATTTGACATTTACATCATGATTTTAGGATTTTATCGAGTTAGGAGTTTTACCTGTAAAAAACGTAGAAATAGTGCTTTTGTCCGCTGTTAGTTGTTTGATAGCCTACATGCTAACTTTCAGTTTATAATTGTTTTTTAGTGTGCAAGTTCTTCTGCTTAAAAAGGAACAGAGCTATGATGCCCAAGACTTGAGAAGAAAGAGAGATTCTCTCATGATTTGGATTTCATCGGCAGAAAATAAGCTGAACACTCAGTTTCCGATTTCACAAGATCTTGACACCGTTACAAAACAAAAATATGATCTTGAGGTAACTTTTTAAAATATAAAATTTGACAAATTGGCATGCCTTTACTTTTCTTAGATCTATACCAAAATAAACCTTCTCCCCAAGTTCCGGGGCGAACATGCCAGTGGGGTCATATGGCGCGCTGTTTACCTTTTTAATGTTTGGTTGCTTGTTTGTTTGTTGGTGGTTGGCTTTTTCACTTCTTATCTTTCCCGGATAGATCACCTCCTCTTTAGTGGAATCTTTCAGTTTTATTTTTGTAACAAGATGTAAAAGCGTTAGGTAAATGGAAACTTAGATAGATCAAACTTATTTACTGAGCTGATTGATTGACTTGTCATTATAGGATTTCATCAAAGAAATGTTATCTCAACAACGCGAACTCGACGATACTCTGGAGACTGAAGACAAATTGTTGAAAGACTCAGATCTTCCAGAAGACGACAGGACCGCGATACAGAAAGAAGTCCTGGATCTTAGCTACCGGTGGAAGAATCTAGAGGAGTTAGTCTCGACGAAAACTGGAAGGTAGTAAGACGTTTGCGTTTTTCGTTGAGTGAGCTTACAAATATTATATTCTGAATATTAAGGATTTCAGTCCATTTGTTGCAGTACAAACAATAACCGAGCAAATTTTTTGATACATCCTGGATTACTTTCGCGTTGATTTCCTTCTTTAGTCTTTTCAGCCGTCACATTATCCGGCCTTTTCTGTAGTTTCGTGGCCAGATATGCGATCAACACGAAATAAACCATCCTCGGAGACCCAGGGGCTACTAGCTGGGACGAAGCGATATTTTCGGGCGAGCGATATTTTCGGGCGAAAGTTTTCTTCAAGAGCTGAAGAGCCCCTGGAAACTTATTCCTACCGAACCAATTCCAGAAGTGGGCGAATTCCGTCCCGTTGATTGGCCAGAAAAATATTTTTCTGGCCAATCAGCGAGGAGGTCCAGCCGGGTAACTCTGTCGCCTTCTTACATGAAGTGGTTTTCTACATCGATCGACCTGCTTGGCCCGTACAGGAAGATTCTCGTGGAGAGTTTCAGAAGAAAAGATTCAACGAAGCCGAAGAAATCGCAAGCCGTATCATGGGGGCCAAGAAGCAATACTCTTCCATCAATTTTCTCGGCGGTTTTATCGAAGGTATATTTTTATATTGCTAATGTACGCGATTTCTACACTGTTGTTTTTGGTTGCGGAGAAAGCTAGTCGTGTGCACAATCTTATTATTTCTCCTCGATCGTTGAACAACTGAAACTTTACACGATGTGCAAATCGCCGTTGCACGGGCCACGCAACTATGTCGGCCGAACTTGGGAACGATCGGCTAATTACTGCTAATTACGGTGCACGCACCTTCTTGCTATCCCGCCAAACCAAAAATCCGTTAGCAATATGGCTGTCAACAGTGTTGGGCGTAAATTCCCCAACAACTCTATAATTTCTAGCTATGATCTATCGCTGTTGTCGTTCAGAATGAAATTCAGGTAAAAATTATTTCGGGCAACCATAATAATACTACTGCATAATCATTATTAGGGTAATTTTCAATTCCCCGACAATATTTCGATTCCTTTGTTTATCCAAAAAAGCAAAGCCAAACAATCTGCAACAATCGACCTCACACTGTGGATTCATCATACAGAAGACGAACTAAAGTTGCATTTTGGTATGGCGCGATAGCAAGAAGGTGCGTGCAACGTAATTAGCCGATCGTTCCCGCGTTCGGTCGACATAGTTGCGTGGCCTGTGCAACGCTGATTTGCATATCGTGGAAAGTTTCAGTTGTTCAACGATCGAGGAGAAATAATAAGTAAGATTGTGCACACGACTAGCTTTCCCCGCAACCAAAAACAACTGTGTAGAAATCGCCTACATTAGCTATAAAAATTTACGATATACCTTCGATAAATCCGCCGAGAAAATTGATGGAAGAGTATTGCTTCCTAGCCCCCATGTTACGACTTACGATTTCCTCGGCTTCGTTGAATCTTTTTTTCTATAACTCTCCACGAGAATCTTCCCGCTGTACGGGCCAAGCAGGCCGATCGATGTAGAAAACCACTTCGTGTAAGAAGGCGACAGAGATACCCGGCTGGACCTCCTCGCTTATTGGCCAGAAAAATATTTTTCTGGCCAATAAGCGGGACGGAATTCGCCCACTTCTGGAACTGGTGCAGTAAGAATAAGTTCCCAGGGGCTCTTCAGCTATGGAAGTAAACTTTCGCCCGAAAATATCGCTTCGTTCCGGCTAGTAGCCCCTGGGTCCCCCAGGATGGAAATAAACTGAACTCTGTTGCTAAGCGGACTGCGTTGCGCCGACAACAACAAAAAAATCCGGAATTGCCTGCAGCTCTGGCCGCGGTAGAGATTGAGACTAATTTAAAACAAAAAAATAGAAGTATTGCCGCTCTGGTTTTGCATCACTACTCTTAAAGACTGGTTTCAAAAAAATCCCGCCATTTTCTTATCCAATCAGAAGTGAAATCAACACTAATCGTGACTCGCTCACATAAACATTGCCGCGCTTTGTGCAAAATTACTTCCTTCAAGTTGGTTGACTGGATCGCCTGTGTCCTTTGTAACTGGCCCGAGTGTTAATTCAGTGTGATCCTTGTTTCACGACACTCAGTTGAAAATCTAGAATTCACCACGCGTTCAACTTTCTCGCAGAATCGATGAAACCTTCCAGAAACTCAGGATTCAGGAAGAAGACGAACTTCGGGAATGGCGTGAGGGCCTGGATGAAGTCAACGGATGGGTAATAGTCAAGATTAACTCGCCAACGAGACTTGCTCCTGAGGTCAGTAACGCAGCTTTTTCGAAAAAAAATAGATAACTTTGAGGTTTGTCGTTATTACTGCTGCAAAAGGGTCTCCCAGGAGCTGATCGACTTGAAATGAATAACTTTATTCAGCTTGCAAAATTAGTTAACACAAGTTTATAACTGATGATGGCAAACAGTTCTGTCGAAATATGTCTTGCTCGCTCAGAAACGTTGCTCTTTTTCTTAGTGCTGTTTAAATCTGTCTACCAGCAGAAATATTCTTGCCTTTATGTCTGTGTTAAGGGCTAGAGAGCTGACCTCCATTTCCCTTCAGTATTTTCTGTCTGCCTTGTCCCAATGCAAAATAAAATTTACCATGATTAACGTCTGCTCACAACCTCTCTGTGTTTTTCATTATCACACACAGATGACGGAGAGCACAGCCAGTTTAAGTGGTTGCCAATGAGTGTCCATCAGTGGCCATTACTTCGAATAGATTACAGCTTAGACTTATAACTTTCCTGTTAAGCTAAGACAGAGAGTTGTGTCACTGGAACTGAAAATGACGATGCCTATACCTTTTTTAATAAGCGCTGGAAGGACGGTTTTTGCAATACTGTATCAGAGTGGCAACGCGTCAGGAGTGGCCAGGGAAAAAATTCCTCCAGGTCAAGGAAAGCTCAGGGAATTATATTTTGAGTTAGCGAAACTGAATTGAACCTTTGCATAATAGTCAGGCTAAACTGAAATATTACCTGGGTGGAAAGAGGCACTGTGATAGTAAAGTGTATTGCCCAAGCACATAACACAATGATCCCGGCGTAGCAGGGGCTCTAACCTGGACCGCTGGCTCCGGAGTACAGCGCGTTAGCCATTAGGTGATCTCACCTCCCTCCCCGGCGCCCCCCCCCCCGGCGAAATTTAGGCCCCTAAGCTCAGCCCCTTTATTTGTTAGCTGTCGAGTCAAAATTGGAGATAAATCCTGACCAATTTCCAGACTGAAAATACGCCATTCTTAATAACAGTTTCAGACTGACTGTTTACATTTCTAATGAAGTAAATCCCTCCACTTACCTTTTTCCCCTTAATCGTTTGCTCATGACCCCCCCTCGCCGGCGCCCCCCCCCGGCGAAATTTAGGCCCCTAAGCTCAGCCCGTTTATTTGTTAGCTGTCGAGTCAAAATTGTAGATAAATCCTGACCAATTTCCAGACTGAAAATACGCCATTTTTAATAACAGTTTCAGACTGACTGTTTACATTTCTAATGAAGTAAATCCCTCCACTTACCTTTTTCCCCTNACTCATCTGACCATTACCTTGTTGTCCACCCTGATACTTTAGTATCTGGAACTACTGTTTCCATGGCAACTAAGTGTTTGCGGCAAAGCATACTTAATGAGCGATTCCGAACTGAAGGCCAAAGTGAAGCCATGTTGATTGGAACACTTCTTCATGATTTGTTTGACCTAGCTATAGAATTTAATGGTGAGTATATTTCCAAGAATTATCCTCCAGACTTAAGTTCTTACTTATAACACATCCTAGTGGCGTTACATTGAATCTTTCTTTTAATCTTTTGTCCCTTTTTTTAAAACTATTTTATCAAACATCAGACTTGTTTTTTGATGCATAGTTCATAGTTTCATCATACTTCATTCCTGCAATATTTTTACTTCCAAGCTCAGTTTACCTAATCATTCATAGTGTAGTGAGGCTAGCAAATCTTGTTTGTAATTGGTCATCACATTGACAGCTACATGCATCAGTGATTAACATCATTCTCAGGGCTTGACACTAAGGTTTTACACCACTTTCCATTTTGGAAGGTAGATTTCAAATTTTACTTTCCATTTCAAATTTTACTTTCCACAATGGAGTGTGGTATCATAACTGCTAACCATGATAAATTTATTTAAAAAGTATTACCATATCTTATAGCATTGATATTTTTGGATATTTTTTAACAATCCTTAGTCATTAAAATTGGGGCCTCTCATCCTCATTCCACTAACCCACCACATTTGCAGTCCTAGTATGTTGTTGACAGAGGTATAATCAGCATAATTTGAAAAGTGGCAGATTTGATTGCACCACACCAGCACCATACCACATGTACCTGTATTTATCGTACCCAGACTTACATGTACTCAGCAGCTCTCTCAATACTCCAATATGGCAGATTGGTAAATGCTAGAATGGTCTAAACTCGTCCTTTTGCGGACAAAAAATCATTGTCAGATGGTTAAGTTTATCATTTGATTATTTTTATACACACGTTTTTTACTTAAGCCTTTTTAGCGTAAAAGTTACTTTCCAGCATAGCCCAAAATTTAATTTTAATTTGCTTCCCAGATTGGGTAAGAATTTTGGTTCATTTTCGATTTTTTACTTTCCAAGAAGTAAATTCACTTTCCAATAGAAACTAAAGTGTTATTGTCGAGCCCTGATTCTATATAAATATTATTGCATCTTCTGATTCAACTGTAAGTACGATTTTGACTTTTTAAATACACGGTACGACACCTCTTTCTCATTTTTCATTCCCACTTGCCCAATGGGCAGGGGCCCAGGCAAGTCATCGACCAACTAAACAAAAACAGGAAACTAAGACTTGCCCAAGGCAAGCAAAATTTGAATGCCACTTCTCAGAAGGGCAAGCTGGAATTCAAGGGTTTTTTTTAGCCCTGTTAATTCTACCTCTTAAGTCGCTGCATTGATCATGTTACTGTTATGATTTGTCTGAAGAATTCTCCCCTGATGCCCTTCTTAAGAGAGCTAGTGGACTTCTTCAGAAGCTCTCTTACTTAGATGACCTGTACAGCCTGGGACAGACAGAGAACTGGGCCATGGAGAAGCTCAAGGAGCATATTCCACTTCTCTGTGACTGGGCCAAGAAATTTGTGGCTCCTTTTCCCCACCCTGATGTTGGGGCCATAGATTTTAAGACCCCTGAATACCCACAAGAGGCTGAACAGCCCAGTGTGTGTGTTTCCACTTTGAGAGACATCGAAGAGAACATCTGGTCACCAAGATTTGGACTTAAGGGTAGGCAAATTTAATTTTGTTTGATGTTTCAAATTAGCGGACATCTGTTCGTAACCGTCTGAACAAGCTTCATTTTCCTTGAAAGTGTCTTTCACTAAACAATGTACATCGCCCAAGTTTGCAACAATCTTCTTATGCAGTGTGACTATCTTTGCTACAAGCCATCAAATAACACTCCAACAGCACTTACTCTAATTTATGTTCTGAGAAGAAAAAAAGCGAATCCATAACTTTTTTTTTTAAGAAGACATTACATGTATCACATTTACATCACCATTCTTGAAGTTTAAAGGAGCTACGTCACGGTTTGCACATCTTGAAAAGTTTAGCCTAGATTTATTTGTTTCTTCAATTTCGTTTGTAATCCGCGCTAATCTCCATCCTAAACCATCCTTGTTCCTTTATGGTTTATTATTATCTCTTTGGTGTTTGTCTGTCTTAGTAAACTACTATTTTCAAGTTTCATTCAATTTCAAGGTAACTTTGTATGTGGCCAGAATAACTCAAAATACCGTGACTGAGTTCCTTTAATCTGTGATCACACTAGACTCTCTCGTGGTTGATTTATGACGACCTCGCACATACATTCATACGTAGGACTATTTGATAAGATTGATTTGTGTTGATCTCTTTCTCCAGGGAAAATTGATGCCACTGTTGAAGTTAAAATTGACAGAAGACCTAAAATCAAACGACACAGACCTGATACAGGACACCAGGTGCAGACAAAAGTACTGCCATTAGAGCTGAAGACAGGAAAAATGTTCACCAAACTAGGTAAGGCCAAATGATAACTTCCCTTGTTAAAATTGCTGGAGGGCCAACAGATGTTACGTCAGGGGTCCCTTTCTCGAAAGTCCTGCTTTACGCACCCAATGCCATATGCTAAGATCTAAATCAAAGAAATAGTTGTGCGGGTTTTTCGTTTACTGATATTTTTATCGTTTGGATTTCAAAACCGGTTTTCGGTTGAGTGTCGTAAAACTAATACCAAAGTAATCACCCTGGCCAATCACAAAGGACAAGGGAAATCCAGTGAACCAAGCAAAACTTGAAGCAAGTAATCGTAGCTGAAGTGAGGCAAAGGACTTTACGTGTGCGAAAGAGTCACGATTGGTTTTACTCCCTAATTGGATGACAAAGTGGCGCGAGTCTTTTCAGACAATAGCTTAGCATAGTAAATACTAAGCCAAGGCAAATACGAATTACTTTCGACACTCAAGTGAAAACCACAGTGACTCTGACTATTATTCACAGTTGACATTTGATGCATTTGATTACTTTATTTATGAGTATAAAATCTTCAAGGAGTTTTACACGTTACTATTGGTCAGTACTAGTTCATTTTAGCACCACAAAGCATGTACCTCATAATTACACGCCATAAGCCTTTGACTTATGCTACGTGCTTCCTTTATCGAGATATGATACACGCGACCTTCACTGTACACTGTACGTCAGGAGTCTGAGCGCACGAAACTTCTTGGACTTTTTTATAAAAGGAAAAAGAAACCCAGCTGCGCCTGATGGTCCTCTATGCACTTCTCTCTTGAAAACGCGTATATAAATAAAACACGGGTTGCGTCGGCTTCGTTTGTTTATTTGCGAGCTGCAGTGTATTGCTTCCTTTATATACCTGTACCTTTTACATTACCAGGTTCAATTGAACACCGGGCGCAAGTGATCCTGTACACGCTACTCATGTCTGATCGCTACTCTCAAGCAGTTGACGCAGGATTGTTGTTTTACATGAAATCAGCTCACATGCTCAGCGTGCCTGGCTTCCTCCACGAGAAAAGGGCGCTGATCATGAAGAGGAATGAGGTTGCTCGGTACTTGACGCTTAACAGGGCAGGAGCTACTGGCACCATGCCTGGTTGGTACAATGTAACGTTTGTAATTGAAATAAACCAAAAGGACTCCTATCGTCAGTTTGGATGAAAGACTTTGTTGCTAACGCAAGCAACTCTAGGGCTCACGCAGTCATGAACAGGCCGTCACAGAAAGCTATGGGATTTTAAATTTACATTGCTGGCTTGGGAAAGTCATTCAATTTAACAACGTTTATTTAGCTACTAGAATGGTGTTGGAATGTCTGAATTTTGAACAATCTGTATGAAGTTATAATGATTTAAAATGAAGGAATGTAGAAAGCCTAAATTATCTCACCCATCAAGATGTCTTGTTAGTGAGCGGATGTTGTTGAATTAACTTGAGCTTACAACGAAGACAAAGATAGATCTATACTCTACTAAAAAAGAGTCCACTTCATCTCAAAAGCTCACGTCCGGCTCAAAAGAGTACTTCTAAGATTTCAAGGCCACACTGTCAGATCCAAGAACGCTTCCACTTCATATCTGCATTTCTGCTTGAAAAAGCTACTGCCGCCTCAAATCTTCATTTCCACATAACTGTAATTCCACCTCAAAATGCAGTTTTAATACAAAAACTTGTTCAGTCGAGAAACACAGGCAGCATCTGTAGAGACGGGAAAGATTTTTTCTGTTACATGTGTAGTTTATTCTTATTTTTTTTTTCAAGCAATGTTAAGAGACCTCAACACCTGCAAGCGTTGTTCTCAAGCACAAAACTGCACTACCTTCCACAAAGCCACAGAACAAGGCGATGGCAAGACCAGTGGACTGGGGTCACTTTTTAACGAGAAGACAGACCATATGTCCAAAACCTATGTCAACTACTTCACGAACTGGTATAAACTGGTTTGTCTGGAAGGGAAGGAGATGGAGCAGAAAAGAAACCAAAGGGAAATTTGGTGTTTGGAAGGATTGGAGAGGGAAAAGCTGGGTCGTTGTTTTAGCAACATGGTCCTGAAGCCGCACGATCATGACTCGATGCTAGCCAATAGTCATTATTGCAGACACAATTTTGAGCGTTGCGTAAATCATCCCAGCGTGACACCGTTACAGGATGTGCCTATTGCTGTGGGAGAACGCGTGATTTTGAGTGAAGAGAACAATGGAGCTATAGCTCTTGCGGCAGGTGAGTCGAGTTGAACGCAGCCTTCATACCATCAGCCTTCATGCAAATTAGACAAGAAAGTAAAGAAAATCTTCTGGCTAGTTTTCCAGGCCTGGCAGTCAATCTGAGCAAGAACTCTAGAATAGGCTCGTTTTGATATATTTAAGCTATAACTTGACTCCAAGCCTAAAGGGAACAAAACAAACACATCAAGGTTGAGCGCACAGTTTGGCTCTTAACGCTATGTCTGGGAAATGAACGAAATGTTTTGAAACTTGTACAATAAAAAAAAAGACATTTGCAAACCAAACGAGCCACTTTAACACGCCTTTCTTGAGATAAAAAAGCTCGAAAAACTACTGCTGGGGAGGAGATTTAATCTGGGGTGCACATATTGTAGTTGCCACTGAACTACTCTTGGCTGAGCCTATAAAGCTCTATAACTTGTCTACATTCAGGTAATAAACCGACATTTAATTCACAAAACTCGAACATCAGCAACGTCTGAAGGTCTAATGATTCGCTGCAATAAAATAATATATTCGCTACAAACAGCGTACAATTGAAACACCAGCAAAAAAATCGAGCTAAGGCTTCACTTACAAGTTATTGTACCCAATTCCAACAATAGTGGTAAATCGTTCACTCACATGACGAGAATTGTGCCTGCGTAATCTGTGTCCTGCGGTGATAGCTTCCTTATGTATCGAGCACGAACTAAAACGTACAGATATCTATCTACGACTACGGAGGACCTCTCCCCCGGGCAAAAGTCATGAAATTTCCCTCTTGAATTTCCTGCCCTCTTACATGTATTGAGAACAGGAAACACAAAATAACAAGCGGTAGAAAATGCAGGACAAGAAAATCGGTGATCAAAGACTACACATTTTCCACATAAAATATTAGAAGAGAGTTATATCTGTGCTAAAAATTGCTAAGAAAGTGTTTACGTGACATAAGTAATTGGACAGAGAACCTTCCTAGACCAATTTTAGTTGACGTTCTACTTATCATAGTAACTACAATGACAGACTTGGTAACATTTTTCAGGAAGGTGAAAACACAGAAAGAGGAATGGTTTATATTTGTCGATGATGTGTCTAAAACTTAAGAATGCATAGTTTTCCTGATTGTTTAGCGTTTCACAGACGAACCGTAACGCGTTTTGTCAATGCAAGGCTCATTTCGTTCTGAGATGTTGATATTGCGTGACATTTATTGGTCACACAACAACCCAATTTGATAAGCACGTAAATTTTAGAACTCAACCGTTGATCAAGAAATGCGCCCGGTGTTTTACAGTTTGTAAATCTTTTTGACGCTTACCTCTCATTTCAAACAACATTATTGACTTTAAATTCCAAGATGCTCAATAACATTTAGAGATGACGTGTCGTCAGCGAGGGAGTTTGTTTTTGTCCGTGTCCACTGACGCGTTTCCCGCCTCCGATTTTCCTTTGTTTGTTTTCCTTTCTGATCTTTTGTTATTCCAACATATTTGATAAACTCGAAAGGCGCTTTTCAAATGCAAAATTTACATACTTCGGGAATTCGAAGAATCCACGAGTAACTGGTGAGCAGAGCTGTTCGAGGTCGATAGCTGAACTGGAACGTTCGCTTGAAGGAAAAGATAATTTAAAATAAACACTCGTATAATTGCAGGCGGCCCCTTAGTGGCGAGATGGCGACAAGCGGCCCGCTTGAAAGGCAAAGCTCAGGTCGGGAATCTGCTGTCTTCAAGCAAACGATTCGAGAAAGAACAGGTATTTAAAATTGTGCACTTTAAAATGGATGTTGCGTGTGTAAATTGGCCTGTTAACAAATAGTGCGGAAATGATTGTGTTGTTGAGTCCCCCTGACCGCAAATTTAACGTCCCCGAAGATAGTTCGAAAGTTAGGATTTAATGATTGAACAAGAATAGGCTTAGAAAGTCAGTAATGAGATGTTGCAGAGTTCCCATAAGCTTAAAATTATTCGCAGTTTAACCCAGCTCAGAATGAGCTGTTTATCTTTCGTACACAGGAAGAGCTTCTTGTCTAGAATTTTGTCATCTTTCCTAGTGCTGATTTTTGGGTCAGAAGTCGAGGTAAATCGACTTAATGCAGTAGTCTTAGGATACTAAATAAAGGTGGCAATCCGAATCGAGATTTCCCTGGGCATTATTATCTGTCAATGCAGAAAAGTCACAGATTATAAAATAATTTGCATACTTTTGTACTTAATAACAATGTTTTCCAGAATTTATTGTAAGTGTGTGGTAAACTGACCCTTCTACTCTCAAGAGTTCGATTGAAATGAGGTACATTTCTCCTTTATCGTGCTTCAACACAGTCACGTAGAGGACATATTTTGCTAATGCTTTTCCGCTTACTAAATTCTCTGGAGCAATTCAACAATAGAATCCCTTGTTCAGCATTTGAATTCTTCTCATTTCTGGGTGGCCAATAACAGCAAGCGAGATAACTAAACCGCGTTTTCAATACACATAAGTAGAAATAATTTCTATCTTATGCGACAGGTTCTATCATATAATGCTGCTTTGCAGAAAATTTAATTCCCTTCCTTGTCAAGTCTTCGCTCCTTGAGATACAGACATCAACAAGTTAAATATTTATGACCTAATATATAGATAACCTTTAACTCGGGAATTAATATTTCACGTATAGACTTGACGTGGGAGTCGGTCTCTCGTTTTCTTTCATCTTAAACTCGAAACTGCCTTTTTTCCCACAACACTTGTTTAATGTGCAGTCCATAAATAAACAAGTTAATTCTAAGAAACCTGTCTCGCTTACTAATAGTTCTTTAAGGACGTGAGAGTCAACAGGATTTTCTTGTATATGTGCTAAGACCCTGAGGCTTTTTTACCAATTGCCAGAGACAATACCCGCGACACAAGATCTGTATTGATTTGTGCGGTTTTTGATTGTCATCGTATATTAATCAAAAAAAGCATTTAATCTTTCCTAATTGAAATGGACTTTTTATCAGATAACCGAACAGGTGTATAATCCATTTGTAAATTACCATGGCGACTACCCCAGATAAGACAACGGGTCGACTTTCTGTATTGAGCAAAACATTATTTTTCATTCCAGCTTATTTAGAATGCACACTTTAAGCCTGTATTGTACAAAATCAAGAGACTAGATCATTGTCTCTGGACAAAATATTGGGCGGCTGCTCTCGTTTATTTTTCAATCCACTTTATTCAAAATGCAAAATTTAAGGCCTGTAGTAATTACACGATTATGTTTTTAACATACTTTAATTTACATGTAAATTGTCTGCAAATTTGGCGTTGTTTTCAAGACACCCACTAAGCCATCACTAGTTAACCCAAATAAAAACTGTCCGTGTGGTCAGATTTATCTTCCTTCGCTGGAAACTACTCCATTACAACACAAACTTTAGACTCTAGACAACATTTTTTTATAATATTGCAAGTTCTTTTTGTTTTCTCTCAAACATAACGTTGTAATATTAAGCAGTCGCCAGATCATACACACGTATTTTTCTTTTTCATCCATGATGTCAACACACGGTAAGTTCCGTCGTTCGACAATTAATCATTTCCAATCACGCTGTTTTGCAGTGGTCTTTGGTTATAATGTTACCGAGCCCGCAATCGTCCAGGATAGGTCAGCGAAACGGCTAAGGTGGAATTTTCCGCTGACCCGAAGTTACGTAGGAACTCTAGAAATGTATTGGGGAAAATTCAAACTTTGCTCATTCTCAGAAAAAGAGGGTCGTTTTACATAGTCAGATTGAACGAAGGTTTTGGAAGAACTGAAGTGCAGTATTTATCAGGCTAAGCTTGTTTTTCATCGAACCGCATTCTCGTTCCCAGAGCTAATCTTGTTTTATGTTTTTCATTAATCATGGCCACCGATCACGTGACTAGCTATCAGGAATGATAGATACGGGGAAAAAAAAGGACGGAACAACACAGTAAAATCATTTGAACAGAAGCAGCAGGAAACAAGGACCAAAGAAATAAGAAGTCCATTTGTATGCAGCTGTTAATGCATTTGCTTTATCAATATTACGCAAAAGTGAAACGCCTGAAATAAATTAGCAGACCAATATACGACGGCCACAACATGAATATGTTAGCAACATGAAAGTTAGTCAGTGACAGATACATGCAGATTAACAGATGCATGTAAAATGTGAGCAAAATAATTTAATAATAAGAAGGCTAAGGAGAATAGCGAGACTCGAGCGAAGCTGCTTGTTTCAGAAACAAGTTATCCCGCACACCAAGAGACTATTATCCTAGTGCTTTACCATCTATTATTTTCTGTCCTCCATGTCCTAATCCGAATCAAAAGGCGGTAAACTGTCAGAGTGCAAAGCAGGTAAAGTATAGTCGAGATCAAGGCCGTTGGTATAGAGGGAATACCTCAATTTTTTTTTTATAGTGGTGATCAATTGAGAGTAAGACTTCTTGTCGTCCAATACGGTTTGTAATGACACGGGTGGCTTTTAATCTATTATCATTCTCTCGAGTGAATACAGATCAAGCTTGATTGACAGCATCCCGGTCAGCTTTGTTATCACTGGGATGTGAAAGACTTGGTAGACAGGTCGTGGTTGTGAAAACCTTTATTTCAGCAGATCTAACCTTCCCTAATTTGTGTGCATGGTTACATTCATGTACATGTAACTACGGTTGACTATTCTCTATTTTCCAATTGCCCATAATTCACTCTGTTTGCCCCCCAAATTTTGCATAAACTATTACTGTGAAATAATCGTGGGAGGTCTGCATATTCCCAAGAGCATTTCATAACAATAGTTTATGCAAAATTTGGGTGGCAAACAGAGTGAATTATGGGCAATTGGAAAATAGAGAATTGATTTCCAGGGTAAATTTGACAATGTTTTATAGACCAATTGAAACAAGTGAAAATGCTCGAGTTAGGGCAGTTCAGCCGAAAGAAGTTTCTTTTTTCTTTTTTCTTTTTTTTTCAATGTTTTAACACTTGTTTATGGTAGAATGATACTTTGAGACATCGTAATATAAAGAAGTGGACCGGAATAATTGGGCACGATTTAAAAATCTGATGGATTTTGAGTTACGACGACAGTTGCCAAAGTTAACAGAAAATCAAATCAGAAAAAAATAACATATTGGAATCCCATTTGACAGACAGGTGCCAGCTTGTTATTGTTCCAAAGCGTACAGCATTAGGAGAAGCCGTCAGCCAAGGGCTAACAGCCCAGTAGCACCTGGTGTTCATAGATCTGTCACGCCAGAAATGTATATTTCTAAATAATCATTTTTTTAACTTGCTCGTATTTCAATTTCGTCTTTGTTATTGCTTTGTTCTCTCTAAGAGCAGCTTCGATGAAGTTTTAAGCGATATCTGTTTTAACGCTTTTGCACGTGCGTGGCAAATTCAAGGCTGGGTTGGGAAAACTGAATGACGTCGTTTTAATGGGTTAACATCGAGGAAATTTAGAATACAAAAGCCGGGAAGATGGCGAGCTTGGCGAGGGAATATGTATACCTGAAGAGACGAGGTAACTCCTCTGAGTCTTTTCTTGTTCAATCCGGCAGTTATTTATTCAAAACTGTTTAATTACTTTTAGCCTGGCGAGGACATTTACAGTTACTTTGTGCATATACATACATGTACAGAATATACCCGGAGGAGCAAACATATGACTTTTATTTTCGACTGGTAAAAACAACATTTTACGAAGGAGCTCAGCGAGGGAGTAAAATACTGTTTTTAACAGGAGAAAATAAAATTCATCTTCTAATAACCCCGTAATTTTTTCTTTATTATATAGACAAACTGACTGTTTGCATAAACAACCGTAAAAAAGCGGGAAATGACGTGAATATCTTCACCAGTGAGGATATAGAAAATACGCTATTCGTGAACCGGATGTAGTTTCGCATGAATTTTACGAGTAGCACTGTGTTTTCCCGGTAAAACACTCCTGTCTATAGAGTAAAGATTTTAGGAAACAAACATGTTTCTGAAATTATACGTTTGTTTACGTTACTTTTCTGCTTCGCTGTTGAAGCTCCGAACTGTTTTCTAGACAAAGCTGGTCGTATTAAACACAGTACAAGTTGTAGCAGGTGACTTACGGCTTGATGGCGAAAATAGGTTTTGTCAGATGACCAGCCCTGAAGAACCGCTGAGAGAAAACAACATTGAAATCATTAAGGGGAATTTATGTTTAGAACATGGGAATGAAAGCGGAAAAAGTTCATTGCAATTTCTGTAGTTTACTTGGTGCCTTCTAAAGAGGAATTTGAAATTTGTGACATAGTGTGGACAGGATCCTGAAGAGATTGAAGGTCACGTCTTACCAATTTTAAAAATGACTGCCTATGTTCCCTTCGACTGGGCTGTAGCCACAGGAGATGCTACTTACCAAACGATGGCTTGTCGTAAAGCAGTTCTCTTCCAAATCACTGCTCAACGTGTACATTTTAAGCAGACCTAGCAATCCCGAGGGTAATCCCGAGGAGGTAAAACAATGTGCATGAATTTACCAAGCATACTACCTCCTCATTTCGCATTCATTTTCGATCCGCTTATTCATGATCGAACTCACAGGACTTCAGTTTCAGTGCAGAACACTCAGCTCCACAGAACACTGGTAACTGGTAGCTCTTGGTCTGTATCACTAATTTATTTTCAAAGAGGAACTGTAAGATAAGGTCTGGGGTAACGCTAATTGTAGTGTTAGGTTTTGTTTTTGATAGCGTGTCAACAGTATGAATTACTTCGATTTCTGTTTTAACATTTAGGCGAGAGAGAAGAAATACACAAGAAAACATTTCGAAAATGGATCAACACCAAACTAGCAATGGTAAGCCATTTCTTATTCAAGAAATATGGTGGTACAGGAAGCGTGCTACACTGTAGCTGTAAGCAGACCTCCTGTGACTGTCAGACTGATAACGACATACTATAAGCTTTTGCCAACGATGTGGAGGAATTGATCTTGCCCAATCCGCCTCACTCATGTTGAGTTATGATTTTTTTCTTCAGGCGGTGCCTCCGTTAGAAGTTACGGATCTTATAGAGGAGATTCGAGATGGTCACGTGCTCCTCTCTCTGCTAGAGGTTCTTTTGGGGAAAACTCTGGTAAGCCTAGTTCTTGACTCCTTGTTTTCGTCTTCAGGAACCAAATAAATTTTTGCAAAAGACTTTATTCTTTTGAAAAAAAAAACCCTCCGTCCCTAAGGTGTGCAAGATTGAAGGCTTATTATCCGGGGTATTTTGTACATTAGCTGTTACTCCATAAATTTGAAAAATACCTATAGTGAAATGCGTCATCTAGAGTTCAAGAACATACTCTGGCCTGCGCGCTCTTCTGATACTCTTATTAAACCCGCGAAATATACAATGACTATTTTTAGTACAAAATAGCAAAAACTAATGGAAGAAAACAACGAATAATAATAGTTTCGTAACTGTTAACAAGTTAGGTAAAACCACTCTTTTTCTCCGTAGTCCATTTTATGAAAAAGCAGGATGCATTAAATGCTTTGATTGGTTAATCGACCCCTTTGGCCCAAGTTCCCATCGAAGGACCACTGGAAGAACTGGACTTTTGCTTCTCTGTATTCACATGACCTTCTATCGCCGCTGATCCCAAAGTTGGATTTGAGCCTGTTACTTTTAAATGATGTTCGATTTCTTTTATTCCACAGAAAAGAGAGAAAGGTCGAATGCGTGTGCACAAACTCAACAATGTGACCATGGCATTGAAGTTGTTGGAAAAAAACAGAGTACGTCTTTTTGAGAGAAATTTAGTGGACCACGTGCACCCTTATGGGATGTATTTCGATATTCCATTGCTATTTCTGTCACTTCATCCCTCCAGCTAAGTCTTCTTCTATATGTCTCTCTATAATTTTTTTAATTTTCTTTTTGTTTTTCTCGTTTCTGTCACTTGTTTCCGATTAAATAATCAACATTATATTCCTTTAAAGGTCAAACTTGTTGGAATCAGCAATTACGATATTGTTGATGGAAAGAGCACGCCTATCCTTGGACTCATTTGGAGCATTATTCTGCGATTCCAGGTAAGGAAAGGCTGTTGCACCGTGTGTGTGTTTGCTTATTCAAACTCCGGTTTATGCATACCTTCATTTTTACACACTGGAGGCTGGATGCAGTTTTGGATACATCTAAAGCCCTGAGCGGACTAGCCCGGGAAGGCCTCCGATTCTCATAGCCCCCAAGCAGGAGCGATGAGAAGTACAGTTTTTATCCACAGGCTATGGCTTGACGACCTGGGAATATCCACATTCTCCTGTTACAAGCGGCAAAACTTGTGCCAGAACCGTACTCCTCCCTTTTAACATTCCTTTACTGAAGTTAATCCGAATCTACACACTGTGCGAGGTAAAATTGCTGGCCTAGCTACATGTAAGCAGAACCTTGAGATCAACACTAAAATTGACCTTTCTTACCGTTAATTTGACGCGAGAACGTGATTACATTACATGTATTTTGGGTGAGTGGGGTTTTGTCCTCTGGATTCAGCTCAGACTTATACAGACGTTATATAAATTTATGGTTGAGACCAAAATATTGGTATAATACAACAATTTTATGCCCTTATCTCACGAAGTAGCCCAAGGCTGCTTGTATCAACACCCTTCTTCTCTTTCCATTTTTCTGCTCACGACTCTGGCATACTTTTTAATCCCCCACCCAGGTTCAAGGTGTGATGACAGAGAATGACTCCGACTCTAGCGTCAAGGATTTTCAAGTCGAGAAGAAACTTCTTTCCTGGTGCCAGACGAGCCTCGATGGGTAAGCAATTAACCAATATTATTTAAGTCCTGTTAGTATCCCATATTATTTAATGATTAGTCATCAGGCCACAGACAACAAAAAAGTGTACTTGTTCCAGTTCCCATTTCATACAACTCTGCTTAGTTTGTTGTTATTTAAAGAAAAGCACTTATCGTAGGTGGAAATCCAATATGGCGGCGGCTTAAGTCGAATGTGTGTTTTATGATTCATTAGTTCTTTAGTTATGGCTGGTTCTAGATCAACTGACAGCTACCATCTCAGAAACAAAGGCTCACTGATAGTAAGAAACAAAAAACGTTTTAGTGATCGTAGCTAAATGCGGTGTAATTCAACTGAGACTGTCGGTGGGAGAGAATTAAATTTGAAGGTAGATTGAACCTGTATACAATCTTATTTAGTTCGTTCCGCTCCTTTGATACTTTAGGATACCAATATAGTACTTTGTTTGGGTTAAGTTTACTAAATTGTGATATGAATTGTTTCCTACTATTAGAGAAGTATTCGTACTTTCAACAATAATAGGCCATGTCTTGAGGGGATTGACATTGTTTGCAGATACGAGGATGCCGTTAAACTTAAAGACTTCACTTCAAGTTGGAGAGACGGTTTGGCTTTTAACGCCATCATCCACACACACAAGTAAGTCAACTGTGGAAGATTTGTGCTTCACAAGATTAGAATATATATTTTGTTCCGTGCTGCAGCGCTAGGGCATATTTGGATTTTAAGACAACTTCCCTTTTTTTCAGACCCGAGCTATTCCGATTTGAAAGCCTCTTGCAAAACGATAACCGAGCCAACCTTGATCACGCATTTAATGTAGCTAACGAAGAGTTTTCTGTGCCGAAGCTGCTTGACCCTGCAGGTGAGACAATGTTGCTACTGTTCACATTTATTGGATCGCTGAGTTTTTTTACAGTAATTTTTGAGAGAGAGAATGTGAAATGCTCTGGGAACACGAGCCGACAGGCGAGAAACTTACGAAACTTTTCGAAACTTTCAGGGATCGCCAGTACGAAAACAAATTAGCGACTGTACTAAAAAAAAACTTCCTAAGACACCTTTACGGTGAGGATTTATTACTAATTTACAAATGAATTTCTTTTTTATCCTCAAGATATTGATGTTGACAAACCAGATAAGAAGTTAATCATCATGTATCTGACCAGTTTATATCATGGCTTGAGAGAATACTCGCCTCAAGGAGGAAGAAAGAGAAGGAAACTAGATGTAAGTTTTTTTCAGCGTTTCACATGTTTAGTATAATTTCCATGGGTGAATATAAGAATCTGGCATTCTGATTGGTCGAAAAACTCAGCCTATCGCCGCCATGATCACCTCACGAGAGTTCCAGGCGCGGTTGCTAAGTCTAAACACATTTGCTATGCTGGCAAGTAAACACAGTGAGCTGGCATTTAAATGAATTTACCATTCATTCTGAAGACATCACTTTCAAGCATTTGGAATACAGGAAAAAGAGTTACAACAGCCTAGGACTAAAATCCTAGGGCTAAAAATCTTTGCAATAAATGCTTTGCCTTGACCGTGGGTGTTTCTTTGTATTTGCAGCGTTCCTGATATTCAGCTCTCGAAATTATACTTCATGCAAAACGTTAATAGGTTTTCATATCTTTGCAGAATCTGGCAGATCTCGAGGCGTATCGTGCGGCGTTGAAGGAAGTCAACATGTACATCTCACAAGTAGAAAACATCGTCTCCACAAAACTAGAAACGACAGGTCGTTTTGTCGATCCCCAAGAGGAATACAAGACTTCAAAGGTACGAAACGGCAAAAACGTGTTTTTGTTGACATCCAACACTAAATGTTAGTCGAGGAGCAATGCTGTCACGGAGCATGACACGCTTGCATATGGAAGGCGATAATTGAGATAGGCATGAGATATTATGAAGTATGCGATGTCTTTGTTTTGGAATTAGAAACACCCCAAATGTTCCTGTAAAGGTATTCTCAGCTGAAAGGTTAACGCCTGGGACCTATAGGGGTAGAAATACACATTAAAGAACAATACAGTAATCGGGTTAGAAAAACTACCCCTACCCCTCTCCTCAACCTTGTGGCTTCCTTCACAGGATTGGTGAACGTGCTTGTTGATTGAACAGGTTTGACAACACCGTTAACAGTCGAACAGCCTTCCAGGTCAAACCTCGCTTTTTGGTCACTTCAATCAAACATAATCTCCGTATTCCCCCATGCAGTCTCATCGTTTTACTTCAAGGAATTAATTTATGACTGATCACTGATCCTAACTACGTGTACCTTACATTACTACTATGTCTTCAGTTTTTCAAGCTTCCATTTCATTTGCCATCTCGGCGTTAAAACTGAGCACGCATGCGCGTGGAAGGTTTATAAAGAAGTAGCTCATAACACTAGTATATTATTCATTTCTAATTTCTTTTTGTCATCTCAGTCTCTCCAGGAGGACATCTCGAATCACCGTCAGGATGTAGAAGATGTGATCGACAAAGGCGAAGCACTCGTGAAAAGCGAAAAGACTGACGAGATCCACTGTACAGAAATCAAAAACGAAGTACTGCTCCTTCACGAACGATGGGAAAAACTGGAAATACTCTCCCAGAGATTACACAAGCGGTAAGTGGGCTAAACGAGGAATATCTTGCACAACAGTCGAACCCAGCCTACGTACACCTGTTAATACCCACAGCTCATTTAGGACAGTGCTTTATCCCTACGTTATGAAAATGTCTTGAAAATTCATTTGCTTAATTGTGTACTCCAAGTACTCAATAGTACTTACGACCACATTTCAAAAAAAACTCAGCACGGAATTTTTAATGCAGCAGAAACATCGTGAGGCTGGTGATAAAACTTTGGTCTTTGTTATTCACAGGTGTCGTGGAGCTGTTGCGTCTCCAAGGGAACAGCAGATTGACATTTACATTACGTGGATTATGCAGATGAGACGTGAGATAGCAGCTCGAGGACAGAGTACGAACCCTGTTGCCATCAAAGACGAGATCAAGCAACACGAGGTTAGCGTTTTAGTTCGGTTTGTGATCTTGTTTTTGACTAGGTAGATGCACAGAGTATCATTATTCTTTCAAAATCTTAAAATGATGTATTTTTCCTTAGGATGTGTTTTTGTTGCGCTTTTTTCAGGGCGCCATATCACGGATTGAACAAAAGATGCCGGAAATAGATCGAGTCATCAATGAAGTTGACCAGCTATGCCAAGAGCCATACATGGACGAAGAAGACCGTGTAGCGCTGCTTGGAAAGTTAAAAGACTTGACCACCAACTGGGACGAGATGCGGAATGAGGCACTACAAAAGGAAACAGAGTAAGAAATAAAAATAAGATAAGAGGCATGAGAGCCTAACTACTTAAAAAGCAACGAGGTTACACACAGTTTGAGTGATGAAGGACGACGAAAGGAGGAAGAGAAGGAGGGACGGGGGGATGGAAGAACGGCCGGGTAGGACAAGGGTTGACGAAAAGCGTGGCAGAGTGGAAAAGCTTGGGGTATTCCTATGCACAAGTTGTTCCATGTACTTATAATGTCGCTGCCCAGTTCCTTGAACATTAACAGTTCAATTAATAAGTATTCCTTATACCTGTAACACACAACGTACATAAATGATTGAAATACAAAAAGCCATAAATGAACATAGGATTTTGGTTTTTGGTTTGCCTTGCCTCATAGTCACTGCTTTTCATCCGGGACAAAGGAAGGTGAGAACCAAACAAATAAAAACAAGCGAACAAACAAACAAAAACAAAAACAAAATCAAACAAACCAATAATTCGTTCGAGATTTCTGCGGTCACGGCTTTATTGAAATTTTTTAAAACCGTCTTTTTGTTCAAAATGATAGAATGCAAACTTGGACGACATAGCTTCAGCCAAAGCCTGATCGATGGAGAGAGGAATACCACACGAAGTATAGTTTGTAACTGAAACTTGAAACAGAGACAATTAATTTTGGTATTTAAATTTAAAAAAAAGAAACTAAAAAAACCTAAAATGCCTCAATAAACAGCACAATCACTTAATGAGCTGCCATCTTCCTTTGCAGTCTCCGGGACAAGCTGTCACAATCTTCCCCAACTGAAGAGAGCGTTGAAACAGAAGTGCTTGTCCAAATAGAGCAGAACGATGTACAGTCCGCACCTTCAGAGTTCAGCACATTGGAAATACAAGTAAGCGATTATACATGTAGTAAAGTCTGCCCTAATTCAATTTCCCGGATCAAAATATAACCGAACTAGGTATATACAATGAGCAAGACGTCACGTGCTTGTTGTTGGTTCTTTCTTTGTAATTTGGTATCTAGGGAAGTGTTCTGTCTGTCAGTTAGAAGGCGTCAGTGTCTGTTTAAATGGTAACATAACAATCAGTTCGCTTTTTTTCCATTTATTTGATTTGATCTTAAGTGTCTGTTTTTATTTGCAGCCGACAGTGCAGCATGTTGTGGAAACGCAACCCAACGTACACTATTTGATCGATTTTGACGATGGACAAGATGTTGATATTGATCAAGTTGACAGGTTTGACTTTTCATCCCATAATATTTTCAGCCTGAAATACGCGTCGCAATACAGCAAACTCTCTTCAGACTTTCTAAGACTGGCTTAGTGAGATTTCTGTTGTTAAGCCTGCTTTCACAAACATAGGATTTATTTCACGTGAGCCGTTATTTTTTTTTTGCTTCATATACATGCACTCTCGTATAGTCTCAACACCAATCGCGAGATGTTTGTGCGCAACCACATTTGCACACAGAGTCTTCATTTCTGAAATGAAATTTCGATCGAAATTGCCAACAAAAGCGAAATTACACTGAAAGGTCGCAAGACTGCAAAGAAGTAAAATACATGAATTCCGTTTGCATTACTTTTGCTCAGTACTATAATACCGGTAATGATGTCTCCCAGTAGTTTTAGAAAACGACCTCATTAACAGAGTTAAACAGCCCTTTTGACTGTTTATTGACAAATTTCTTTCTTTTTAACGTACTCATTTCGTTTTCAGCTCGGACAAAGAGGCCGAGAAAGACTCTAAACTTGCTAAGTTACAGGACAAAAGAAACGCCATCGTGCTTGTCTTAAGAAATGGCTCACAAAAGTTGGACAGCTTAAGATCTAGGGGAGCACCAAAAGATTTACAGGAAGTTAAAGAGCAGCAAAACATTGTTAAGGTAAAGACATGAGCCAGAAAACAAGTCTTGAATATTCGTTGTGTAAATTATAATGTTAAAAAAATCACCCAGATTAATACAAAGACACTCGTTATAGAACTGAGAAAATCCAACACTTCAGTGCTATACATACATATCTTCAGTTTGCAGATTGTCTTGTTTTAAAATTTTATGCTTTTTTTTTTTCAGGAATGTGATTCTCAATTGAAGGCAGGCGAGCCTCTCTTCCAGGACGTCATATTATATGGACGAGAGCTGACGCAAGACGATCTATTTGACGAAAACGAGAAAGAAAACATGGCACGTGACATGGCCCAGCTGCAGGAAAACTATGACGATCTGAGAAACTTTATTGATGACGAACAAGAGAGGTTTGTTTCCTTTTCTGTTACGATACCGGCAATCCACATGCATGTCTACCTTCTCTTCACCTACTTGAAACAAATTTAGGGGCTAGATCAAGAGAATGCTAAGACTGATCATTACATATACACTGTACATGTTTATTTCTAACGTCTCTTGGGAACAAACGTGGATTCATACGGCCAGAAATTGTCGGCCGCCGGTTACAGGAACACAGAAACACAAATTGTCCTTGATATAATTTTTATGTCCCGGTTACTCTATAGCCTATTATAAAAAATACTTTTTTATTCAATCATGCCAAAAACTAAGTGACAAAAATGGAATTATCATTATCATTGAAATTCATAATAATCCTGGATAGATAGCTTCTTTCTCTTCAAGTATATATTTTGTACTTACTTAGTTTTTGTCACTGTTTCATTATTTAAAGCCTTGATGACCTTTACGTGGAGATGGAAAAGCGAAACAAGATTCGGGATTGGGAGTTGAAACGAGATGACTTGAACGACAAACTTGACTTATGCGAGGAAACGTTACGCAGTCAAAAACAAGATCCAAAGCCTGATGATTTTAAACCGAGCAAAGAACGTTTAGCTGCAGCAAAGGTGAGTTTAGCACTCGTTTCTGTGTGAACTTTCGAATGATTTAATTTATTCAACGGGAATTTTGGATCTGATAATGGTGTTAGTTTACCGTAAAGGTAATGAGATGCCCAGAGGAAAATAGAGCCCTCAGACACTGTCAAACTGATACTTCAACATGTCTTTTTTACGCTGTCTTTCTCACAGGCTTTGTCCGATGAGGTCAGTGCCCTTGAGCCGGAAGTGACAAGAGTTACGGACGGCGGAAATAATCTTTTACAAAGTGAGAATCTTGATGCAAATCAGAAAGATCAATTGGTAAAGGACGTACATGATGTCGAACAGAGATACGAGGATCTCAAGAAGAACACGATTGATGAAGTAAAGAGGTAATGTCCTTTGGGACGATTGTGATAACAATCGTGCATAGGATTTCGTGTTTAAACTGGTTTTCATTCTAAGTCATCTGTAATCGCTTTACATATTGTCATCCTAGTTCTAACCCAGTAGGGTCACTGGGGAGAACGGTGTTGTGCTGATTTTATGATTCTTGTAAAAATAAAGCTCATTGATCATGACTATTCTTTTACTCGACCAGTTCAACGGGTTTTTTTTAGAATGTTTAAAGTTAGCTTCGGCTGTCTCCTGACGTGTTTTCCATAACTTTACTGGCGGAAAGGGGAGTTTCGAAAAGACTAACCACTACATTAATTTTTAATTGTTGATCTTATAGACTGGAGGACGCAGTTTCTCGGGAAGACACTGAAAGAACGGTAAAGCTGGATAAGTGGCGCGAGATTAAAGAGAATACATCAAGGATAATAGTTGACGGCCGATCAAAACTTGATGGGATTAAATTGAAGGATCCTCAAACCGCCCCTGAAATACAAAAAGGGTTACAGGAGCTACAGGTGAAAAACATTTTATATTGATGTGGCTAGGTCAGCAAAGGTTGATTTGTTTCTTTTAATTACGAGCGCACTCGTCCACTCGGTCACTCGGTACTCGATCACTCACTCCCTTGCTACCTCCTCTTCGTCACCTCCTCGCGCTATCTCCTCTTCGTCAAATTCAGTTGTAAGGCTTCCATTCTCCATTTTCCAATTGCTCATAATGCACTCTGTATGCCCCCCAAATTTTGCATAAACTGTTGTTGTGAAATGCTCTTAGGAATATGCAGAGCTTCCAAGAGTACTTCACAACAATAGTTTATGCAAAATATGGGGGGCAACCAGAGTGCATTATGGGCAATTGGAAAATAGAGAATAAGTGAGTCCTTTGTGCGTCTCCAAGTGACCCAATCTTTTGTATATAAAATATTGTATGTGAAATATACATGAGGTTAGTAGACTTCTGTGG